ATAAGTTATTTCTACTCAGTTTCTTCATAGGGGAATGGAACTCACTTGACACAGTTTGATGGGAAGCATGTTTTCCTGTTTTCTCTATCTATGTGGCAAACAGGTTGAGTTTACAGTGTGAACGTGCCCTTTTAATCTCTTTGAAGATTAATTTTCGAAGCAGCATCTGCTCCTGGAGATTCTTTTTGACTAGCTTGCTGGCTGATGAAAGGTAATCAATCTAGATGGAATCATGCATTCTGGTCTTGGCTACTTATTTCTTTTCTTTTGTGAGTTGTCTTTTTCAGGTTTTAGCAACACAGGAAAAGGAGATAAGGCAGGGATCAGGTGAGGAGCCGTGCTGGCTTCATTCAGGGTCCCAATGCAAAGTGCATGGGTACAGGTCACTTAGGAGCTGAGGCAGACACAGGAGCACTGCTCTGTGCAGTGGGAGAGCCCCTGCCTGTGTCTCAGGAAGCTCTACCTCTGACTGGGTGACCTCGTTCAAGTTGCTGCATTTCGCTAGGGCTAAGTTTTCTCATCAGAGAGATGAAGAATTAGAGCCATTGAGGTTCCTTACAGAGCTACTGTTCCATGATAAAAGAGGGGAAGTGACATGATAAAAATCATGTAAAAGAGGGAAAGTGACGTTGGTCTTTCTCATTAGGAAGCCAGGCAAGGCTCTTGGCACCTTGCATAGGAGTGGGTACCTCAGCAGTGATCTTTGTTGTTCTTCTTTGTCCTCCTTGGTCTGAGGAAGACATTCCTTTGGGAGAGGTCTCTAGTTGCATTTGTTGGTCTATCTTTGCACATAAAGGGGATTCTGATGTCCTGGTGTCTTGATAACATAGCTTCTCATAGAGAAAAATACTTTCCAGGCCAGCAGAGACTCTTTAGGATCATCCCGTGCTCTGCCAGGTCTGTACTGCTGACAGATGAATGTGCCTTAGCAGTGCTGGGACTAAGTGGTACCTGTTCCCAATTCTGGTATCTTTATAGAATTAGCTGGGCTTTAGTCTAAAACACCATAGCAAAGCTCTCTGGTATGCTGAGCTGGGGTATGTAGTTTAATTTCTAGGCCTCTTCATCACCTAAAACCCAACACTAAACCTCATCCCCTTTCTGCAAGCCACGTAGGAGATCAAAGATATGAGAGAGCTGCTTCCCCCCTCAGTGCCCCCAGCATGTCCCCAAGAGCAGCAGAAGAGTTTAATAGAAGGGCCTCCTCCTGGACTGTTCAGACAAGGCTATGGCATCAGTCTGTTGATACCTAGTCACAGGGCTGTAGGGAGTAAGAGAGTCCCAATTGTGAGGATGCAGTGACCTTATCCCCAGGTGAACACAATGCATTCAGTGTTTTATGCTGGTTTTAAAGTGATAGGTGATATAAGGGTGATAGGAGATGTGTTATACGACTATGAACCTCAATTTCTCCATTTTTATAATGAGGATAATGTCTTTTCCTTTTTCATTACCATTAAGGTAATATGTTTCCTGCTTTAAAATTAGCATTTGAATATGTAATGTTTTAAGTATTACAGAGCACATTTACTTTGCTTCTTATAATATCGATGTGTCTTATTATAGAAAATATTTTATAAAATTAGCATTTTTAACAATCAGGGAATATCCTTTACAATTTATGAAATCCTGTAATGCTCTCACAGCATATTTTAACTGTGATGCCATTAGGAAAGTAAAGTGGTTTATTTAGGTTCACTAGAGAGCTAATCTGTTTAGGATTTGTTCAATTCTGAGTTAATTTATACAAATCTCTTTTATTCAGAATATTGTAACTTGGTCATAAAAGTATAGCTCAGGGATAAATATGCCAAAAATCTGTCCTAGTCTTTTGAGAAGTTTTTTAAAGAGTAAATAACATAGCAAAATGTACTGATTTTTTAGGTGCTCATTCATATTCAATGACAGCTTAGAGAATTCTGAATTTTTACAATGATCATTTGGCTTGGGAATAGAAACAAAGGATCCCTCTCTTTTTCATTTGCTATTTTTACTGAGCTTTAAATTATACATATGGACAGAAAACTGGGAAATATAATGATAGTCTAGGTTCTTAGTTTAAAACATGTTGAAAAAGTCTACCTCACAAAAATAAAAACTTAAATACTTTTTTTTTTTTTTTTTTTTGCGGTATGCGGCCTCTCACTGCTGTGGCCTCTCCTGCTGCGGAGCACAGGCTCCGGACGCGCAGGCTCAGCGGCCATGGCTCTCGGGCCCAGCCGCTCCGCGGCACGTGGGATCTTCCTGGACTGGGGCATGAACCCGTGTCCCCTGCATCGGCAGGCGGACTCTCAACCACTGTGCCACCAGGGAAGCCCTTAAATACATTTTTTTGAAGAAAGAAAAGAACAAAAGGAGCTTTAAGACCTTCTTTTGAAAGACAACAAAGAAAACAGGAAATATGAATGAAAATGAGAATTCAAATTCAAAAGTGTATAGAAAAATACTTACAATTTACCTTAATGTCATAAGATAAAATTTTGCTGTCAACATCTCTTTGTTGATTCAAGCCACATTTTTTCCTGAGTTACTTGGCTCTGAATAAAAATATAATAAATGTAGCTATGTGATAATTTCAAGGGCTGGATGAAATGGCTTTTAAAGTTTAAAAACTATTCCAGTTATTTTGTTTTATTAAAACAATAAAAGTCAGAAAGCATTTGTCAGTATATTATCTGAAATAAAGGTAAACATTCATTTAATCTTATAACTTTTAAGTTGATGAAGACATAAAATTTTGTGTGTACTCAAACGTGGCAAAAATTAAAAAACAAAATGAATGTCATTATTTATTATCTGATATATATTTTAAAAGTGATTCAGTTTAAGTCATAAAAGGATAGAAATAGCTTCAGAACTTAAGAAGACCATGCCAAGAAAAGAATTAAAAAGTTACATTGATCTCAGTCTATAAGTACTGAAGAATGGAAAACATTGACAATACTTTGATTTTGATCTCTCCTCGCTCAATTTTGGCAATCTTCAGCAAAAGAATTTGGCAGGTCTGAGCTTTTAGAAGGCTTTTACAGGAATATAGGTAACAGGAGTGCTCTTTTTTTACTCCACCTCGTATCCCCCAGTTTATTTCTCAATGCACACAGAAGAATTGGCAACATAGACTAGAAGAGCATTTCCATTTGTATTTCTTCTAAACTAGACTATATTAGCTTAAAACAGGAAGCATTCTCTGAAATAAGAGCCATCCGATTCGTTCCCTAGTGAGGCTGGAATAGTTTTCTATTACCATAACTCACTAACCTACCCCTGAGTTCAGATGTTTTCTTTTGTCCTGTTTTACTTATTTTCCTTGGAAGGATACTAATGATTTGTTGATTTTGATGCTTGGAAACTTTTCTAAGTCATTCAAATCAAATGTACTTTCCTGTAATCTTTTGGTAGTCATTATGTAAAAAAAAATTTGGAGGTAAATTGAAGGTGATGTCTTTTTATAGGGCAATGTTTCTAGAGGAGTCCTTTGACTTGAAAGTAACTTTCCCATTACAGTTTCTTTTAAATGCTTTCTTTTAAATACAGTTACTTTAAAATACTTGTTAATACTCCTTTCTTTTAAGTGACAGATGCTCCTGGTTATCAATGTATAGCATGGCTGTGGCACTTAATTCCTATATAACCATAGGCAAGTTGATTAACCAGTTTATGTAATCTATAAAATGGGGATGTTTTGAGGATTTAAATGAGTAACTAAATATAAAATGCCTGTGATAGTGCCTAGAGCATACTAAGCACTATATAAGTATTTGCTATTATTGTTATTATTCTTATATTTATTTTAAATTTTTGCAAATAATTTTGATTTAGATATGCTTTTTATTTTATTTTATTTATTTTTTTGGCTGTTATACTTTTAATGGAGGGAGGTACAAAATGCAGCAATGCAAATGAATGTTTTACATACTCATTAGCATAGTGATTAATGTTAATTTAGGGAGATACAATGTGTTAAACCTCAAAAACTACAAAGTTTCCTGCCACCTAAGATAATGGAAAGACTCCTTAAGTTTCTTTTCTTTTCTTTTTTTTTTTTTTTTAAGACTCCTTAAGTTTTTACCTACCACCTTTAGTTTTAAAGTTCTAAGTGGTATCTGGGGGAACTAAAAAATAATAGCCTCATTTCAGCTGTGGTTCAAGAATTCTAATGAAGCTGTATGGCAATGACACTGGGACTGTGAAGTTTCCCCAAAAGGTCTTTCTAGATGACCACATCACAAGCTTTAAAAGTATTTCTAGTAACATGTAGGCAAGTTGAGTGCCTTAATAGTTTAAAAGCCTGGAAAGCAGCTAAGATGTCTCATCTTAGAGAATTTAAAAACATGGTATAAATACCATTTCTCTCCTACAGAGAAACTTTTTAAAGCCTGGACATAACTTTAAGGATACTAAGGAAACATCAATAGTTTCCATAAAGCTTCAGTAAACACCCCAAGGAACAAGTATTCAAAACGGCCTATTCACTGCCTTATACTTTTAGAGGTATTAGGTATGCTGTGCTTGCAGTGAGAGGACATTTAATTTGTGCCTAGTTAAAAAAACCAGGTTTCAAGTTCAGCTTCCATTTACATATGATACACCGATAACACTTGGGATAGTGAATAGTTCAAGTACTACATTTCCAACATGCCTTGCCTTTTGCTTTTTGATTAGTTGGCACTGGGGCTCTTCTGCCCATAGTTATTCAGAATATTTTGAAAGAGGCTAGGACTACCCTGAATATAGTCTTCAAACAATATGGAGCCCTTCTGAAAGAGCTGTCTAGATACTTTAATAATAACATTTAGAGAAGGAAATAAAGATAAAACTTGAAGTAGCTGAGTTTCTTTCAAAGGAAGAAAAATAATGTCGAATCTGGCATGTAAGCTAAAATGTTTTGTAGTTAATGCCCCAAATTGCCAAGATTGTTAATACGTGTTTTGGTATGAAAAAAACACTGTATTGGCAAGGTTAATTATTTGTGTGAAATATATTGTATCTTAATTAAACAGAAAAATTCACCATTAATGGAAGAAAACCCACTACAAGGGAAGGATCCAAAGAAGGGCAATCAAAAGGTTAGGTAAGTTTACTAGCTTTGGAATACATCAACACACCTTGATTATAGAACTATTTTCATTTTTAAAGCTACTGTGTTTTAATGTACTTCTAATAACAACCTAATCTAAGGAGCCATGGAGGCTTAAGAAAAAGACCTACCCACTAAGATGCTGTGTTTCTAGTGTAGGGGTGAATTAATACTTCTGTAAGAAGGAACTGAATCACCTCAGCATCCACAAACCCCCTTTTTCTTTTACATAGTAACTCTTAATTTGATGGCTTATTATTTCTCTTCACTAATTCGAAATTAGGCAGGAAAGGAACTACATCAGACCCAGAAACACAATGATTTGGCAAGCTGCAGTTACACAGCTCATGGATTTGTGATAATCTGCAGAAAATTTGCTTGACTCTAGTACTCCCTTCCTTCACATTTGTAGAGGAGTTCGATACAACCATTTTTCTTTATCAACTTTAAGCTGCATACAGGCAAAGAGATGTAGTTTTTTTCTTTGAATACTTATTTGTATATTACTGATATATTTCATTCTACTCACATATGTGATTTGAATTTATGGAAATCTTTTCTGCTGTTTCCTTTCTTTGGTGTCTTTTGAAACATTGCTGTTTTGCCTTTTTGTTCTTTCTAGTAATTTAGTGGGTCTGTATTTGCTCTAAAGACTGTTTTTCTGTTTTAAAAAACCTTACTTGAAAATATACTTTTCTAATTACCCACATTACGAAACAAACCATATTGTCTCCCTTGATGTGAATTGAAAGAATTTGCACTCTTTTACTTTCATTACCCCACAACTTCCAGATTTTTGTTTGCATATCTTATTTGATCTCAGTTACTACTTAAATTGCTATTTTTAACTCATGTATCTTTTATTTCAATAATAATTATTCTATTTTTCTATTTATATTTTAGCAGCTATTGGGATGTAATTCTGAGATTAAGTGGTGGCAATACTCATTCCCATTTCTTTTATAGCACTGTTTGCATATCATGAGTTATTTTGTCTTACTTAACCTGTCCATGACTGAAATATGCCTCCAAGCATTTTACTTTTCCTCCAGCATACATGGGTGGTATATTTTATAAGCCCTTACATATCTGATAATATATTTCTGTTGTCTTTATAAGTGAGTGAAAGTTTCTCTGGATATAGAATTCTTGAGAAGCAGCCTTTCCCCATTAAAAGGCTATATATTTTACTCCATATGTAGTATTGTGAAGATGTGATCTAGGCCAATCTTCTGTTTTAAACAATACTTTTTTTAAGACTATTAAAAATATTTATCAGGTTTTATCTAGGTTTATTTAGCTGTGTCCTATATAGGGTGAAGTTTTTTGGTTAGCAGATACAGATTTTTATTCAGCTTAGTAATTTTATTTGTTACAGAAAAACGCTGATTAAGCTACAAAAATATAGACTGGGCAAAATGGCTCTTCTCACTCTTCCCTAACCCACTGACATAAGCCAATGAATCAGACATTTATAGAAGGAAATTTACTGGGTATCATGGACAAAAATATGGCAGGGTATTCTTCCCACCCCCTTTCCCCCAACCTCATCCACTTTTCCTAACCTTGTTCAAGTGCTCAAATGCTGTTCCTCTGGTTGGGCATTGTTGATGGCAAATACGATGTAAATGATTTCTTGTTCTAAAGTGGAAGTCAGAGGGCACCGGTAGGGTTTCATGTCTGATTATTCCTTTTATAGTGTTCTCAACCCACAAAATCTTGTCTATTAGACCAGAGACTCTGCTGGTTGTCCAAAGTCCTCATGACTATCACATCAGAAACCACTCTCCTCGCATTGTTTTTTTTTTTTTTTTTTTTTTGCGGTACGCGGGCCTCTCACTGCTGTGGCCCCTCCCGTTGCGGAGCAACAGGTTGCGGAGCAACAGGCTCCGGACGCGCAGGTTCAGCGACCATGGTTCACGGGCGCAGCCGCTCCGCGGCATGTGGGATCCTCCCGGACCGGGGCACGAAGCCGTGTCCCCTGCATCGGCAGGCGGACTCTCAACCACTGCGCCACCAGGGAAGCCCTCATTGGCTTTTTTTTCTCCTAAGTTTGACTCAAAATAGAGTGCTTAATTCTTGCTGGTGCATCTACTTTATCTTGTTAGGAAGACAAAGTTTAAGCAGGAACTAAAATCTTTTAGTGGCCAAATGTGCTGACCAAGACAAAATTCTTGTTATTGATCAGAGAAATTGTAGTTTGTAAAACTAGCTGATGCTTATTCTCCTCTCTTCATTCTTCCAAGATAAGAATAAAAAATAAAAACAGTAACAACTATTCTTTTAAGGGAAGCCCCTTTTCATGCAATATTAGATACTTTTGTATCATTTGTTTAGATTTCTTCTTTAATCAAATACATTATTTATATATTGAATCTCCATTTTATATCTAACGTATTTTTTTTATCATTTTTGACCATTTTACTATTTTTGTCCCTTTCTTTGAACAGTGTTAGCTAGATTTATAAGTTTGTCTTCTGCATGACTTACTAGATTTTCTGCAGTTTAGAGTCTGAGCTTTACAAATTTTAGTGTAATTTTAAATTCTATTAAAGGCATTCTTCATTTCCTCCCTGCATTCTTTTAGTGAATCTATCTATTTCCTTTTTTTGTATAAGTGTTTTTCTTAGTTCATCTTTACTCCTTTTGTTCAGAGAGTGCACAGTTTTCTTTGATTTCCTTGAGAGCATAGATAAATGGTTTCTAAAATTTACTTATGTTTCCTGCCATAGTTACGTTAAAATATTCTCTTTACCTCTTACATGCTGTATTTATTTCCCTTGGTAGGATATAATATCTTTATGGGTATCATTTCAGCTTTATATTTATACATTCTTTTTTTTGTGTGTGGTACGCGGGCCTCTCACTGTTGTGGCCTCTCCCGTTGCGGAGCACAGGCTCGGGACACGCAGGCTCAGCTGCCATGGCTCACGGGCCCAGCCGCTCCGCGGCATGTGGGATCTTCCCGGGCCGGGACACGAACCCGTGTCCCCTGCATCGGCAGGCGGACTCTCAACCACTGTGCCACCAGGGAAGCCCTATTTATACATTCTTAAATGAAAAAGATTTATTCTGATCTTGTTTTTGCCAATAAATAGCATGGGTGGATTCTTTTTAGGTTTTGTTAGTATTTTCTTGTAAGATGTTAGGATCCTTTCCTAAAAGCTACAGTTGAATGGTGGGTAGGGTAAATTTATATTAGTGGCCTAGCAATCTGGAAGAAGTTGGAGGCAAGGGACATCCAAGCGGGGAAATTTCCTCTGCTTGGTTTATTCTCTGTACATGGGGAAATTGCTGTGCTGTGGGTCAGCTTTCCATAGCTAGTTCTTTACCTCCTGGCTTCCCCTCAAAAGTACTGTTTGGCTATGTCTGACCTCCTTCCTGGAGCTCCTGCCTGCTGTTTCAGGCAAAAGCCCTACTTCAATGGGAGAGTCAGATTCCTAAGTCACTTCTTCCACCAAAATAAACTCCAGATGGATTAAAGATTTACATGTAAAAAAATATAAAACTTTATGATTACGTCAAAAATATATGGTAGAATATTTCTGTACGCTTTGGGTGGCAATGTACTTTTTAAGTCCAATGTGAGGGCAAATTAAATTACTGATAGATTTAACTATTTAAAAATGTGTGTAACATCTGTATGCGAGGAAGCTCACTCCATATACCATTATATGGCAAATAAAAATGTTTATAACATGATTTGATGGTCAAAGAGTGAGTCCTTATGTATAAAGAATTTTTGTAAACCAATAAGGAAAGTATGAAAGTTCAAACAGAAAAATGAACAACATTAAGAGATAATTCATAAAAAAAGAAAATACAGATGGCTAATAAGAACATGAAAAAGCCATTTAGTAGCATTAGTAATCAAATAAATATAAATCACAGCAATGATTTACAATTTTCTTTATTTTATGGATAAATGGAAAGAAAGGGTATTAATACTTATTTGGTACATCATGAAAGTTTCTCTTTCCACGACATTCTTTTTAATAGTTGCATAATAATTCATGGCTTGGATGTAACATGATTTATTCCTCTATTGATGGACAGTATATTGTTTCCATTTTTCCCTACTATAATAAATGCTGCAATAAACATTCTTTTATATATGAATAAACTATGGCTATTATATCTACAGGAGAGATTGTCAGGAGTGGTATTGTCATAACTAAGGGAATGAAGAAGCAATTCACATTAAAAAAAAATATTTATTTATTTATTTATTTATTTGGCTACATTGGGTCTTAGTTGCAGCATGCAGGATCTAGCTCCCTGACCAGGGGTAGAACCTGGGCCCCCTGCACTGGGAGCACAGAGTCTTAACCGCTGGACCACCAGGGAAGTCCCACAATTCACATTTTTGCCAACAGTATATGAAAGTGCTCTTATCCTACTTTTAATTTTCTCTAATACTGGATGTTACCACCCTTAAAATTTTTTGCCAACTGAATGGGTAAGAAATTGAAGAGCACTGCTGTTTTAATAGTTAGTCCTCTGACCCTTACTGAGTTTGACTCTCTTTGTATATGTTTAGTGGATATTTGCTTTTCCTACTAATATATCTTTTTGTTTGCTTTTATATTTTCTTTGTCAGTATGCAGAAATCTTATACTACTACTACTAATATTTTATTAAATTTTTAATATGTAGTATTTTCCAATCCATCTTTCATATTTTCTTTACCAATATATAGAAATCTTATTATATTAATAAATTTTATTTAATATTTTTCCAATCCATTTTTCATCTTTGACTGTGTTTATTTTTTATATAGTCAAATGTGTCTGGTTTTTCTCCTAGAACTTGTGGATTTTCTACCTTTGATTAAAAAGGCCTTGATTAAAAGTTCTACCTAACATTTATTTCCCTAAATTTTACTCTATTTTTGTTTTATGTTTTACAATTGTATCTTTACCCCGTTTGAAATACGTTTCTTTCTATGATGGGAACTAAAGTCCAACTTAATTTACTTACAAATGGATC